TCGAAGCCTTATCTTGTTTATCAATCTGTGCATACAACGGGCATGAAACCCCGAGGTAGTCCGGGCAATACCTCATTGCCCCCTACGTACACGAACACGACGTCTGTAGACACGACGTCTGTATTTCGGTCTATCAAAGAAAAACATCTCAAATCAATCATTAATAAGACTATCGACATTGCATGTGGGAAAGTAATCGTTAATAATGCGTTAAATGCCTGCTGACACCCAGGGAAACGCTCAATTTGCATGTGTAAAGAAATCGTTCCTCTGATAAGAATAGCGTAGCTGAGCTTCTGTCTGTCTGTAGCCTGCCCCGCCTTTCCCCAGGAATTGCGTTGTATAGTTTCTGTGCAGATATTCTTGTCTGTTCTTCAAATAGTGGTGAAGACGGGTTATGAATGAGGAACCAATAAATGAAGCTTTCATTTTGACTTGCAAGAATGAATGATATCGATATGAGGTAGGTAGGTAGATGACAAGTTAACGTTCGCTTCCAGCGGATGCTGATATCGCAAACTAGGTAGTTCTTGGTAGTTAGATTGGATCGAATGGAGACGTGCGATGGAACCCATACTAATTCAATCTCCTGGTCGTTGTTGGTTTGGTGGTTGTGGATCATTCTTCTTATTTCGGAAATAACTTCTGACCTGCAATTAGAAGAGGTGAAAAAAATAGATTGGAGGCTGCTTAGCGAGTCGGATAGATTCGCGGCATGCTCCGTGTGATTGACGGACAGCCATGCTACCGCGTCCCTAATGGCAAGACGTTCTGCTGTGAACACTGAACAGTGCGGGGGGATCCTTTAACTGATGCGGATGCCTTATGCTGGGATGCACAATCCGTAACCTGTTGCGGTACTACTCTTGGAACCATCGGTGTAGATCTTCAAATGGTCGGCGTACACGGAATCAAAGAGATCAAGAGCGCGAGCTCTTGCTCACACTGGGTTCTCGTGATCAGCTGGGTGTTGACTGTCGGGTTGGTAACCTTCCAAAACGGAGTAGCCGATAGGCGTCGTTCAAGGATCGTTACTTGATCGAGCTGATGCTCTCTCAATAGATCAGTGACCTCTGAAACCGTCGTAGAGCCCGCTTGCGAGCATATACGGCAGCCTGAAGTTCATCGGACCACCAGGACTTAGGTGGCCTACGTGCAATGCCATCCTTAGTCTGGGGAATAGTGCCCATAGCAGCTTCAGTAATAACCTGAGTCAACTTCCCAGAAAAACTAAAGACGTCCTCGTCCCTTGTCAGATGTAGCTTGGAACGAGTGAAATGACGCCTAAAGAAATCCCAGTTAGCCTTCCCTAGTCTCCATTTGCCTTGACACATGACTTCCTCCTTCACAACATTGCGTGACAGCGTGATTTCAATGACAACATGGTCACTTCCAAGGGTCTCACTGGTTCCTTCCCACGTACAGTCTTTAGCCAACCGACTGCTTACTAATGTGAGATCGAGATGCGAACCAAGAGGAGCAATTGCACCAACATAAGTAATGCTACCATCATTTATGCTAACCAGGTCATTGGACTCAATGAACTAAGCAACTTGTCTACCATTAGTGTCAGTTGTTGGCGAGCCCCACAATACGTGTTTGGCGTTGAAATCACCAAGCACAATATTGTCGGTCCCGGGCAACTGATCGTAAACATACTGATATTCACCGAATCGTTGAGGTTTGCCTTTGACTTCGGGTCGATAAATATTAACGATAGAAAAAACCTTGGACTTGTCGGTAAAGGATACCGCCTGTGCCTCCAGAGGAGCGATGGTTTCCAGAGAAACCTTATTATGGGATATACCATTTTTGATGTAGATGACCAGACCCCCACCACTTCGATGGTTGAGAGCATTAGGTCTGTTTAATCTGATCAAAGTATAACCATTGATGAGAGGGGTCTTTAATCCGTGAACCGAGCTTGGACTCTTGGAGGAAAACGGCATCATACTGCTTCCTTTGTAGTAGCTGTACCAGTTGGGTCTTTCGTTCAGGTACGTTCAGGCCATTGATGTTCAGCTGTATAAACCTGAAATCGAATGTAAAAAAATTAGTGACTTAATGGATCAGTATGGTTTAGCATGGGGTTTGGGGTGTCGTAAAAACCTATACGTCCATCTCCGTTACTGAGGCAGTGGTCTAGCTAGTGAAGTGCTTCTAGAGCGCTCATTCACGGGTCTGGAGCCTGTACTTCTGCAGATGCTCCTCGACTGACGAGGTTGGCCACTCGTGGATACCGCCTTTACTTTTCTTGGCGTTTCCACTGATTGACCCACTACGTCAGTCTTCGGAACATCCGTGCTGGATCTCTTCCTCTTTGGTTTGGTATCTTTATTTGGTGGTTGTTGATTCGTGACGTGGTCGGCACATACTTTTGATACTGCGTCCATGACGTCTTTTGCATTAATTTTACCAGCCTTGGTTATGGAACTGATTGCTACTGCAACCAACCTGCAACAGAAATCAAAAAATTTAGACTCATCCTTAAACTCCGGCGTGAATCCTTTCGGAGTTTGAGCCGGGGCAGGTTTGGGGCATTCGACCACGGGCTTGGGGGCAGCCGGCACCGTGTTGGCCGAGACGTGATGGCGAGCTTCTTGTGAGGATACCTTGTAGGTGTGCTGGATCCTTATCTCCGCTCTTCTGGACAGGAACGAAGGGCACTGTGCGGAGTTGCTGGAGTGGTTATCACTCCGACAATTCACGCACCGTACCTTCTTGGATTTGCACAGCTTGATGCTGTGCCCCTCTCCACACTTTTCGCAGCAAACTTTGCTGCGGCAGAGCTTCTCCAAATGACCCAACTTCTGGCATCTTCGTACCTTGGGGATGTAAGGGTGCAGCTGGTACCTAGAATATAGAAGGGGAAGAGGACCATTAGGTACTTTCCCGCTTGCGAAGGTTAGTTGGATAGTCCTAACGGACTTGCCCTCCCGAGGTTTGTAGAGGTATAAACCCTCTACAGCGTGATTGTGGAGCTTAAGATCCTCCAGCAATTCACCCTCAGAGTACTCGGAGGGGACGCCATAAATGACGACCCGTTCCGTCTTGTTGAAGGTGGACATGGCCGAGTCCACGTTCATCCCACACAGTCCGGTTTGGTTGGCAGCATAAACCGCATCTGCCAGGAACTCAAAATTCAACCTCACGTTGCCGTTAGCCAGGACTTTGACCTCCGGAAGAGAGCTATACTTCCACTCTTTACGGATGAAGTCGCCGATAACCTTCGAATTCGTGCTGCCGAAAGTTTTGCCCCCGCTTGGCTTTCACTATCACGATATTGGAGTATTCCGGCCTTGCTACCCTGGGTTGCATGGTAGCAGCTGGCCGACTCGCAATATCGGCATAGCTAACCTTGGTGGCTTGTTGGGAAGAGGCCATTTTAACTGAAATTGAAGGTTTGATTAGTACAAATACAAAATACAATACAATAAGACAGATAAGAGATGGCTATCAAGAATGCCTTGCAGACTGTGCAAAAATTGATAGTATGAAAATGAAAAGAGAACAACGAAACAAAACGAAACCTAGTGAAAGCTTTGTAGGACAGCTTGAATTTCTTCCGCCAAAGAAATTGTCGGCCGCCCAAAGAAAAGATAAAAGAAAAGAATAAAAAGGAACGAACTCACAGTAATTAGTGGCAGGTGTCAAAAGTTAATGAGTTATACTTAATTGATACTTGACAGTAATCCGCTAATTACTCTCATGCAAATGAAAATTACAATTTTATCCGATTAATTTTAGTTTAAAATTTTTTTTTTTCCTATAAATGATAAACTTTTGAAAGTTTAATTTTTTGAAATTTAATAACATTTTCAGAATTGCATACCTCAAGATTGTCAAAGGTGTGGAATTGATGTCATGAAATGGAGGCGTAAATTGACATCACCCATGTCCGTCGGTCCGTCCGCAATTGCTCGTAAACACTCTAGGAAGTGGGTGAGCATCTGCTCGAGAGCTCTCAACTGCGCTGGGGTTCCTACGGTCACGGCCGCAGTCTCGACAGCATGCCTGTTGTCAGTGTAGGTCTTCTTGGGCAGCCCATACTTCTCTCTCGTTGCTGAGGTTGACGAAAGTTTTTGGTCCATTGGATGTAATCAGTCTGTAAGGAGTAGTGTTTTCTATATCATTGATTGTCTCGTCTGAGACAATTACTGTTTCCTGCAGGCTGATCACATCCGATGTTTTATAGTTTTTATGATATTTATGTAGAAAACCTCTACAGATATTTAAAGTTGTAAAAATCATTATAAATATAAATAAATTTGTTGTTAATACTATTACTTGTTTTTTTTATTATTTATAATGGTAAACGACATCTATTTATTCTTCTTTAGAGTAGATTTCCCTCTAGAAGTAGAGTTCGAGGGATCTATACTGATACTCGATTCTCTACTCTCAACTCTCAGAGGTTTCGTGAGTAGCTACCTTGTGTTGTTGTAGTCTTCGAGTAGGCTATCCCTATCCCTATCTTTGGAGTTGGATCTGGAGGCAAGGGGCCTCCTTTTGTTGGAAGTACCTAGCATTCTTCC